TTCAACTGCTCTGTGCGCTCACTGGTCACGTGATTACGGCTCCGCTCAGCACGCTCTGCTTTTTGAGCAAAATACCGAACGCAAGGTTTATCTGGTCTACACTTTAGATTGAATAGGAATCCATTTTTGTTTGATTCGATTTTCAAAATTTTAGAGGGCTGAGCGTCAGTAGCCCCCCCCCCCCCCCAGTAGGATTTTATCGGAAAATAACAAAATATGGAAATTTTCAGAAAAATCACACAGTCCAGCACACTAGATTGAATAGGAATCCATTTTTGTTTGATCTGATTTCCAAAACTTTGGGGGCGCTGAGCGTCAAGTTAGCCCCTTAGAAAGATTTTGTAGGAAAATGACCGAGTGTGGACATTTTGAGAAAAACCTCATACAGCACACTCCACTTCAGATTGAATAGGAGTCAATTTTTGTTTGATCTGATTTCCAAAATTTTTGGGGGGGCTGAGCGTCAAGTTAGCCTCCCCAGTAGGATTTTATCGGAAAATGACCGAATATGGAAATTTTTAGAAAAACCTGATACAGCACAGTTCAGCACACTTCCGATTGCATAAGAATCAATTTTTGTTTGACCCGATATTAATAAGCTTTGTTTAACAATTGCAAATAGCCATTGGTCGCAGGTACATTATGGTACAATTTATCAGCAAAAAAAAAATTATCACAAAAGAAAAAATATTATATTAAAAGAAACAAGAGAGTAAAAAATAAAAAAAATTGAAATAAAAAAAAAACTAAGATATATCAATCAAAATTACTTTTGATTTTTGGTATTATTTTAGTTTTGAATGAATCAACAGAGCCGTGAAATAGATCTATATCACTGTTATTGGATAATTGGTTAAACCATGAGCAGGCTCTATATATGGGCGCTTTTCTGGCAAGGTTTGTGCGAAAATTTTCTAAATAAAATCTATGGTGAGTTCGTGTGTTTATCGACGGTACAAAGAAGTTAAGATTATTTAGTAATTCACCAGAATCGACTAAGTTGTTGCCAACTTTAAATAAAAATAGTTGACTGGCAAGGATTGTACTTTGTTTAAGTGAAAGGAAGTCAAAGCGTTGTAGCAACAACTTATGATCAGACCCCCTTGGAGGATAAGTTCCATCCAGTTTAAAACTAAGATATTTAAGGAATCTGCGCTGAACATATGTGAGCCTGTCGACATGGATTTCATAGTTGGGAAACCATATCAAAGCTGCATATTGTAACTTAGATTTAATTAATGAGTTGTACAAAGTAATTAAGCTCTCTATTTTTGTAAAATCTTTGGTAGACCTGAATATAAATCCAAGTGTTCTTAGAGTAGCCTGTACAAGCTCGTCGATATGACTGTTAAATGTGAGTTTCTTGTCAATTATGACTCCAAGGTCACGTATAGATTCAACGCTGGTGAAACTGGTGAGAGTACTGTTTTCTAGGGAATAAGCAAAATTTAATTCTTGGTTAAGGTTAGATATTGTCATAGAATGACATTTATTAATATTAAGCATAAGTTTATTAATGCTACACCAAGCAGATAAGGAGTTAATATCCTTTTGTAATTCTCTACAGTCATCAATGTTATTGATTATTCTAAAGATTTTCAGGTCATCCGCAAATAACACACAGTCAGATGAGATAGTGTCTGCAATGTCATTCACAAATATAGCAAAGATGAGTGGAGCTAGGTTACTCCCCTGAGGGGCACCACTAGAAGCATTGTATGAAACTGATTTGAACCCGTTAAATTCAACAAATTGTGTACGCCCACTCAAGTACGAAATGAACATATCGACCAAGCCCTTATGAAATCCCACTTTGTACATTTTCTGTGCTAAGAGGCCATGGTCCAACTTATCAAACTCGAAAAATCCGTATACATGACATCAAGTTGTTTTCTGCCATCGACTGCTTGATATAGTCCGGGAGTTAACGACATATTTCATTGTACCATTTTCGCAAGCTTCATTCTTTTTGTATGTGTTATGCGTGTAGTATATGATAGTAATATGAACGTCTGCCGGCGCACCAACACGACAGGGGGTTACAGGAGGGTTACAATTACAGCAAAAAATGAACGAAAAAACTTCAAAGCCGCATAAGCGAAACTTATTGTACATATTGGTAGAAACATAGAAAGCTCAGAAAATATGGTCTGCCACCTAAATTCCACAACAAAAGTCGTCTGCCACCCACATAAGTGAGCGCAAAAAAAAAAAATTAAAACAAAAAATATACTCGTAAGGCTGAAATTAATTAAAATACTTCTTTTTATGGAAACAAACACAAACATAATAGTATGCCACGAATAAGATACAACGAAGATCGTCTGCCAAGCCTATGAAGTTGGGTTCGGCATGCAGTGCCCGAGCACCACCGCTAGGACGCTGCATTTTTTTCTTATTCCTGTTTATTTTTTTATTTTTTTGTAAGGCTAACCAAAATGAATTGTGAAAAGCTCAAGTCTAATGTTCTAGAGTTCTTAAAGAGATTATAGAAGGATTCATCACATACACTCAAAATGGAAATGAAAATTTTCACTTGGAATATTTATTTTCTCTTTTTGACACTTGTCAAATTCACTGTGAAAATAACTAATTTCAGCCTTGCGGGTATATTTTTTTTTTTAATTTTTCACTTATGTGGGTGGCAGACGACTTTTGTCGGGGAATTTAGGTGGCAGACCATATTTTCTGAGCTTTCTATGTTTCTACCAATATGTACAATAAGTTTCGCTTATGCGGCTATAAGTTTTTTTCGTTCATTTTTTGCTATAATTGTAACCCTCCTGTAACCCCCTGTCGTGTTGGTGCGCCGGCAGACGATCATATTACTATCATATACTACACGCATAACACATACAAAAAGAATGAAGCTTGCGGAAATGGTACAATGAAATATGTCGTTAACTCCCAGACTAATAGGCCCTTTGTAGAAAGCTACTGAGGTTAGTTAAAGTGGACCTTTTAGAGAAGAAACCATGTTGGGCAGTCGATATCAGGTTTTTGACCTGATGAAATAGGCTGTTCTGGATACAGATTTCGAAGGCCTTTGAAAAGTTGGAAAGTATAGAGATGGGTCTATAGTTGGCAATATTATTAATTTGACCTGATTTAAAAACAGGACAAATTTTTGTGACTTTCCATTGTTCTGGAAATGTGTTGCATTTTAAGATTTTATTGAATATAGATTGTAAGGGCACTGCCAAAAACTGTGAGCAATCCCGTAGAATAAATGAAGGTATTCTATCATGACCTGCTGTTTTAGTATTTTTCATTTTTTTAAGAGTATTGGTTACTTCCAGTTGAGAAATATTGGTTATAGATATATTTTGCGAGTTACTGGTCTCATAAGCATCATTGGCACAGGGCACAGTAAAGCTCACTTCGAGGCCTTCGAGCACAGTAAGTGGTTGAAATTTTGTTGGAAAATTTGGAGGGAGCTAACTTGACGGAGCCCTATCTTTGTGTGGTCCGTTTGTTGTTTATCGCTAGCAGGTGATTGGCCAAGGGCGCATGTACTACTTTTCAGGGGTGCTCGTACCACTTGGCAGGTAGCTCGGCAGGTAGCACACGTCCCAATAACTGGCCGCCTGTTCGTGCAATATAATTTAAAGGTATTTGTCTCTATTTTTTTTTTTAAATCTGTATAAAAATATGCTAATATACCTAGAATATGCTGCCCTCTTGCGGCACACGAGTTGCACGAGTGTAAAATCCGGCCCTGAGTGAAACTTGAGAAGAAATGCTGGAATTTTCAGAATTCTAATCAAATATTGAACAGTAATGTATATTCTGGCCAGAACTGAGCTAAGTACTCAGAAAATGTAGCTTTGAAGTCTCGTTTGAAGTATTAAGTATTCAATATTTTGAATAATATACTCAGTATTAAGTACCTATATACTTAAATAATGGTACCTAAGTATTAGGTATTTTACTAAAACAAAAAAAGTGTAGCACTTAGCACTGCACTGCCACTACATATATTTTCAGTTTACATAGTTAGAGTAGAGATAATGGGTTCAGGACTTTGAAAATAAAACTCCCTTTTTTCAAAAAATTATGCCGACGTTTCGACCATTTATTTGGTCTTCTTCACAGGCTATTTTTTACCAGCAAGGGCGTTTGACGTCAAATACCAATGTAGGAAACATTCCAAAACACAAAGGGACACACATTAGTCTAAATTATTTTTTAATTTTTGCTCTGTATATCGATAAACACGTATAGGTTACAGTAAGTTGGCAAACACAGTCGCGGCTGTGTTTGCCAACTTACTGTAACCTATACGTGTTTATCGATATACAGAGCAAAAATTAAAAAATAATTTAGACTAATGTGTGTCCCTTTGTGTTTTGGAATGTTTCCTACATTGGTATTTGACGTCAAACGCCCTTGCTGGTAAAAAATAGCCTGTGAAGAAGACCAAATAAATGGTCGAAACGTCGGCATAATTTTTTGAAAAAAGGGAGTTTTATTTTCAAAGTCCTGAACCCATTATCTCTACTCTATCTCAAACACTAAGGACGTTATCTATAAAGAAGTTTACATAGTATTTGAGTACCTATTTAGAGTACATTTCAAGAAAATACCGAAACTAAATATAGGTACCAAATACTAGACCAAATAAGTACTCAGCTTAGAGTACTTATTTTAAATAAAGTATTGAATAAATAGGTAAGTAGTAGGTAGGTACTTGAAATAGTGTAAATACTTCAAGTACTTTTGAAAACTATTTCTTAAGTAGATTTTAAATTTTCAGTAATTTTTAGCTAGGTAGTATAAATACTTATCAATTGCCAAATTTAAGTACTAATACCTCGACTAATACAAGTACTTTTTAAAAATTGTATTGATTATTATTTCATGAGTAGGTACTGTCCTGAAGTAGGTACTTGAGTAAAATACTTAGTATCAAATGTACTCAGCAGGTACCTCAGATCAGATCTCATTCTTGCTAATAAAAAATAATCTGCCAAACAAAGGAACAATATGAAAACACTCACCTTTAGCAACGTTTACAAGTAAAACGAAGCACAAGACAGGTCCCAACATATAATACATAATTCCATATTACATTTTCAGGGCACTTTTGTTATTAAAATATCCATACTGCAGCAGTATTTCACTCATTTCATTGGTTGGTTGCAAAGAATATTTCAATAACCCCTCTGGACAGATTCAGAAAACAAGAGGGCACAAAGCAAACAACTCCACCTGAAAATCAATTCTATAAAAATATGATTTATTTTTAACTAGTAATTTAAGTTTGTGCACTTTTACCCCTGATTGGAGTTGGCAGTTCTAAATGCGCGTTGGGTTAGGGGTCGGGAGATTGGAAAATGATTTTTGGGGGTTGGAGGTGAATGATATGGTTGGCTTTTTCTCGATTATGATTGGTGGAAATTTCAGAAAACAACAGTGTTGCCAAATTGTATGATTGGTTCTTTAATCTTTAAAGGTAAAAGAAGTAAATACACAAAATACAGATATCTTAAGTTCAAATCTTTGAACTACTGTTTTATCTGTGGAGACTCGAAAGAATGGTTGGAACCGTCCATAGTTAGATTGAACATTGAACTATTGAACCTTGAACCATGATCGATCTGACGTCATTAGCTCAGTGCGAGATTGTATAGGTTCGAGCCTAGTTGAACCCAGTTCAACTAGGTGTAGGTAGGTTCGGTTCAACCAGTTCCATCGCAGAAAAAGTCATCATAAGTTTCCTGCGCCCGGATTCTATTTTACGAGTCGAGTCGAATTATCTCGATATCGAATACGACAGCTCGGACTTATCGTGTAATAGGTATTGATAAATCGGAAAATAGAATCGCTATTTGACAATAAAATAAAATCTGGCAGCTGATTATGGAAGATTAGCACTAGAAAGCTCGGCAACCTCGCTTTTCCATCAGTTAAATCGTTTCCAGTAGAAATGGGCATAAATCACTGCCCAAACCAAACTGTTATCTAGGAATAACAGTTCTCCGCTTTCAAGCACTTATTTTTGTGAACATTTTTAGAGCAAACATCAAACATCTATTTCCACTCATATTTACACATGTTCGGAGCGCAATTGCAAAAGGCGAGTCTTGGCGTTCAGCCAAGCTACGAGAAATTAGAGTTTCGATTGCAAATATCGGCAAAACAGCGACTTTTCACAGACTGGTGCAAGATGTTCTGGTTCTAAAAAGTACCTGTTCCGAAAATCCTGCCCCTGTTCCGATCTGTTTTGTATTTATTTGAAAAAGCGCTTATACATTATAAAAAATGTAATTAAATATCAGTTTAATGCCCCTTTTTCTTGTTTTACATACCAGAATATCGTTTCTCTCAGATTGTATTAATTTATTTTGATTCGATCCGATTTCACATGGATTCAAATAACATGCTCCAAACAAAAAAGAACACTAATTGCTCCGAACGGCTCGTCCTAGGCGGAGGTGAGATTACTCAGTACTCAGTACTCAGTACTGTGATTGTGAATCCTACTGAAATCTGAACTGAAATGATTTGGAATTTTTAGGAATAGTGGAAAAATAAACAAAACTAGATGATAAGATACCTACTGAAAATATAGGACTGTGTTGTGTTGTGTGAGAAAAGCTTTTCCAAACTATTTTAGTTTAGGTATTCAATTTATTAATCTCAAATTGCAAATTCCTCTACTAAAACCTTAAAGTGATGAGTGGATATTGCAATTAAATTTATCATAGGGTAAGCACAGCTTTTGTTTACTATTTCTTTTATATTAATCAATACCTTACCTTTTTGAAATACTATGCACCCTCCTATGTCCTATAGTGGATGCCTTTATAAAATGAGCTTATGGAAATATATTTGAACTCGGTAAGCAAATATACAAAGTAAGTATTTAATAATACTTGAAGTAAAAGAAAGAATAGTATAAGTAGCAGTACCTACATATTATTTTCTGTATACCTATAGTATCTAGAGTACGTTTCATATGCATTTAAGTACCTTATTAGGTACCTACTTTTGAAAACTACTTTTTAAGTAGATTCACGTTTTCAGTACATTTTTAAGTAGTACAATCAACGGTAGTACCTGAGTAGTTTTTAAAATAAGTTGCCAAATTCAAGTACCAGTACAAGTAGGTACTTTTTTAAAACTGTATTGTTTATTTCATTTTTTTGTAAGGACTCTCCTCGGGACTCTCCTTATAAAAGTGAGTGAAAAACCCATTTACCTAAAGTATCAAATGTACTGAATATTTTCCTTTACTTAAGTAATTACATATATTTCCAATAGGTACCTTCCTCAGTACCTTCAGCAGCTCTGTACTTTTATCTCCGCTTTTATCCTTTTATTTAATTTTGTATTCCTTCGGCTTGTCCTCTGGTATCCTGCTTCCTGTCGGATTTAAAAAAAAATTCTAAATTCTATCAAACCTTTTTGGACATAATCGAGGACATTATAGAGGTAGGAGGTGGGTAAAAATTCACAAAATCTAGGGATTTTTTTTCAAAGAATAATCAATTGCAACAGGAAGTAAAGTGGAACCCCGGAGTACTTTTAAGATCAACATTTCACAGACTACAGAGATACATTTTTAAATGCCTTAGAGAAACCAGTATAGACAAAGTGCATTGATGACCCTCATCAGGTGCATAATTTTTTTTTCATTTATTTATTGATACTCATACAAACACTATAATGCTCGCTATAATGGTAATTACAATAACAGAAATGGACACTTACAAGCTAAACACTACACCAATAAAAAACAACATAAAAGATGGCACTGCTAGGTACTACCTACCTTCTGAATTATTTCATGTCAGGCATTTATAAAATAATCTATGTAGATTAACATCTTAGGAAAACAATTCTTTACATTAAACCAACATACAATTGAGGGGAGAACTGCTACCCACTGCACTGGTACATAAAAAAATTTATCTATTAACCCTTAAGTTAATTTTAGGTACATGTATAGGAATATGGTTAATTAAGGAACATTTATTGTACTTTATACGAGGGGGAAACCACCTTAGAATTTTGGTGTACAAACTGATAGAATTTTTTAGAATTATCAGTATTTTTTAGCATTTTCTTGAATTATTTAGAATTTTTTAGTATTGATTGGAATTGAATTAGAATTTTTTAGAAATAATTTAGAATTTTCACCTATTGCGCATGTTCAAGAGCCTGCGCACTGCGCAATCTGTAGGGATTTTTGGAATTTTTTTGAATTTTTGGTGTACAAAATTAGCTAGGTGGGTTCCCCCGAGCGGGAAACCAGAATTTTGGTGTTCATGCAAACTGAATTTTTAGAATTTCTTAGAATTTTCCCGAATTATCAGTATTTTTTTGCATTTTTTAGTATTTTCTAGCATTTTCTAGCAATTTCTGGAATTATTTAGTATTTTTTAGAATTGAACTAGAATTTTTTAGAAATAATTTAGAATTTTTATCTATTGCGCATGCTCAATTTTTTAAGAATTTTTAGAATTTTTTGGGACAATAATAACATGAAAATTAGCATATTTCAGAATTTTAGAATTTTTGGTGTACAAAATTAGGTAGGTGGATTCCCCCTCGACTTTATATCATTGATAACATAATAAATAAACAGCATACACTGTATATGCCTTCTTTTTTCCAATGTCTGGAACTTGAAGTCATCCAACATGCTTCTTCTGTATGAGACTAGATACAGATATAAAGTCTATACGAAGTCACTTGGACTAGTATAAAAATTAAATCCCTGCATAAATCGGCTTTTTCTTTGTCAAACACATTAATAATCAAATCAAATCAAATCAAAAATTGCTTTATTATCAAAGATACAATCTTATTGACAAAGCTAAACTTAAATTTGGTATCAACGAAAAGCCTTAGAACTAGTTACATGAAAGGACAATAAATATCAACCGAAAAACAAACAGTTAAAAATATTTTATTCTATTCTATTTATTTTATTCATTTATTTACGTATAAGAAAAATACATTTGAAGTTGAACAGAGTTTAAATCTAAATAAAAAAAAAAAAATCTAACCTAAAACAATTCTCCTGGCCTTCGTCTTAAATTTATCCAGAGATAAACCAAAGAACTCAAGGCCCTCACAGAACTTATTTACATTGGCAGATATTCTATTCACAGGACTGAATAGTAGGTACCAGGTTCGACAGTAAGGAATGTGCAGTAAAGATTTACTTCGTGTCTGATAACTTTGAATGTGTAGATTAAAACATTCAAGACATTCGTGGCTTTTTATGTAGTAGTTAAGAATTTTAAATGCAAAACAGACATCAAAATATTCCCTTCTGCGAACAAGAGTAGATAAGTCTAAATAAGTCATAGTCAGGTCCTCACTGAGAATTACACCACTCAAAGAAAGTTTGTACCTTGCAAACTTAATAAATTTGTGTTGAACACTCTCAAGCCTATTGATGTGGATCTGATAGTAAGGTGACCAAACTATGCATGAAAATTCAAGAACGGACCTGACCAGTGATGTGTAAAGAATTTTGATAGGGTGTATACTTGTAAAGTCCCTAGTAGCTCTCTTAATAAACCCCAACATTTTATTAGCCCTGCCAATTACCACTTCAAAATGCTCAGTGAACATTAGCCTAGTATCTAGATAGACACCAAGATCTTTAATGATAGAAACTTCAGACAAGCGAACATTGTTTAAGTAATACTGCAAGGGAACACTATGGGTGCGTCTACTGAATCTTATACAACAGCACTTATCAATGTTGAGGGACATGTAATTAAGCTGACACCAATCGTGAACGATGTTAAGATCATTTTGCAAAATAAGTATGTCTTGAGTTGACGTCACCTGACGATACAACTTCAAGTCATCAGCAAAAAGTAAAAAATTTGACGAGAGCAACGATCCTAAATCGTTGATAAATAAGCTGAATAGAAGGGGGCCCAAGTGAGAACCTTGGGGTACCCCAGAGGATGCATGGAAAAGAGAAGAAAGATAGCCATCGATCTTGACTTGTTGCATTCTGTTAGTAAGGTATGATTTCATCCATGAAAATAAATGTCCAGAAACGCCGAAACTTGAAAGCTTTGAAAGAAGGATGTTGTGATTTACCTTATCAAAGGCTTTACTGAAGTCAGTATATATTGCATGAGTTTCTGCATTATTAGCAAATGATGAATTTATGAATGTTGTAAAGAGAAACAGGTTCGTCTCAACGGATCTACCGGCTGTAAAACCGTGCTGTTGACTGATCACAATCTGATGAAATATTTTTGAAAGAATTCCTTCCACGCACTGCTCAAATAATTTTGGAATCGCAGACAGAATGCTGATGGGTCTGTAATTTATTACATCATTTTTGCTGCCTGACTTGTAAATAGGACAAACGTAGGAGAGCTTCCACATTTCTGGAAAAATTCCAGAAGATAATGATTTGTTGAAAATATTAAACAGAGGAAGATACAAAGTGTTAGAACAAGATTTTAGTACTTTGTTGGGAATACCATCAGGTCCTGCAGACTTGTTGATGTCCAATTGCGTTAAAGCCCTCTCAATATCTGTTGGATCTATGACAATGCTTGAAACATTCTCAAATCGATCAGCAAAGGTTCCAGCGTCGGAATTTCTCTGAGGGTTATAGACGGAGGAGAAATAGACAGCAAAAAGATTAGCTATGTCAACACCGTTGGACGCCTTTTCTGAGGCAAGAAACATTTCGTTAGGAATAGTACCCTGATTAGATTGGGAGTGAATAAAGTTCCAAAAAATTTTCATATTGGTGCCTATGGCTCTTTCAGTATCACTTATGTATAATTTATAGCACTCTTTGGTGAGGTTTTTACAATCTCGCCGAAGTGTACTAAATGCAAAGTAATCCAAACCTCTATTCGACCGCTTGAATCGTCTGTGAGCAATTTTCTTTTGAAAAATCAGATTTTTCAATTCGTTAGAGAACCAGATAGGAAATTTCTCGCTGTAAGAATGTGCCTTTATTGGAACAAACATATTAAAGCAGTCAAACAGTACCAAGTAAAAGCTCTTAACAGTTTCGTTTAGATCGTCCATCATAATGGATCGCCAATCAAAGGAAAGAAAATATTCATTAACCAAATCAAAATTGGCATTTTTAAAGTCATAAGAAAAATAATTAAGAGGCTTCAGAAATTTAGCTTTAACAACAGGTATGGAAAACTCTAGAGCTGGGTGATAACGATCACATCCCACCAGACCGTCAGATGTTACAAGTGAAATAGGCCCAAAGTTGGCAAAACATAGATCCAGGATTGAACCATGATCGTTAGCCACCCCATTGTATTGAGACAGATTAAGAGAAGCAGTACTATCACATAACAATATTTCCTTAGTTGTCCTTACATTTCCAGGTAATAAACCCGAGAGATCCTCACTAGTGGACCACGTTATTTGGGAAAGATTATAATCTCCAAGAACAAGCACATTATCAAACATTTCACAGGCACCAGCAACTGATTTCAAATGGTTTTCATAATGGAGCACATCCATGGTAGGTGGAATGTAGACACAGCCAATACAGAAGACCATGTCACCCAGCGTAACAGACACCCACGTTTCCTCGACCGATGCTTCACCAATTGACAGGCGATGAGATTTTAGGCAATTATTTACTGCCAAAAGGACCCCACCTCCACGGCTTTTAGTACTGTTCAGACTGCTTCTATCAGAGCGATAAACCGTGTAACGCGAGTCAAGAAATTCGGCATCACAGATACTACAGTCTAGCCAGGTTTCCGTAAGTGCAATAACTGAGAAAGATTCGGCGCGAGCCGCACAGAAAGCATCTTTGAGTTTGGTTTTTAAGCCTCTTACATTTTGGTAGAGAAAGGAAGCACAATCTAACGAGACTGGTCCTCTCTGTCTC